TTTCCTTCAGATGTACCATGTGGTTATCTACGGCGTGATTTGCAAGCAATTCATTCCTCTCTCACAGTGCTGTACGTTCGAAAGTGAAAATGTAGGAAATTGGAAAACCAGGCCTTTCCGTAGCTGGGAAATGTGTGGGGTTGCAGGAATGAAACGTTAGCACACCATTAGAGAGTGGTTTCACATAAGCAAACCGTGCCAGCTACAGATTTGCATTCACTCTCAGTAAAGCGGGGTAGAATACAGCAGAAGACATCAGAAGAGCTCCTCTCTGAGGGAGATGGGCAGTAAGAAATATGAAATATAAACAAGCAAACAAACAAATAAATATAATCAAAATACAGATTACATGGAGAGAGACACATGCGCAAGGTATGCCTCCATCTTTCTTCAGAATAATTTTATTTGAAAGAAACATAAAGGAGTAGATGGAAGCTATACATTATATACCACTCCATGCCGGTCTTCAAAGCTTGTTTAAATTGTACCGCTATCCAAAAGAGTTTGCAGCTGCTGAGGTAGAATCTCTCTGTTCGTGTCTATAAAAGAGAGAGAGAGAGAAAATGGAAAACATACATGTATTTTTGACAATTCTGTTTCATGGGGGTGGGGGGTTTAAATAATTTTTGTTAAAGAGACTTTCAACAGAATAAAAGAACTAAAGATCTGAAGTTAAAAATAAGAATACGTTGAACATTATTTTTTTAAAATTCTCTGTATCGTTTTGTGAATTTGAATCCAACATTTTCTTCCTTTTTTTTACAAGTATGCCAGGCATGATAAAATGACCCATCACATTTCCAACATAAATAGTTTCTAGATAATTTTCCTGGAGTCTTCTACCAATAGTACATTATCTTATAAAAATTCTCATTTAAGTTATATCATAATGTAAGTTTCAGTTTCCACATATTTTCCCACTGTGCCATCAATATATGTCCAAAATTCTTAGCCCATGTTATTATACACTCTTTCATTTGTTCTTCTTCTGTTTCGAATTTCAGTAAAATATTAATGCATTTTAGCCATTACACATTCATCATCTGTACACAGTTCAACTTCAAATATTGTCTTCTGCTGCTAATTCCAAATGTCCTATTATCTTCCTTAAGTCTTTCTCTTAATTGTACATATGAAAACCATCAAAAGCTAAATCCCTCTGCAGCCAGTTGTTCTTCTGATTTCATCTTATATTTTCCATGCTCTTGTTCTAAAAACATTTGATAAGTTAACCATTTCTTCTTACTTGTTGTTTCTTTTCCATAAAATGCTTCTTGAGATCCATAAAGGTATTTTGGGGGCTCAATCTGGGTTTACATCTATTCCATTTTCTCAATATGGCACTTCCAATAATAGACCACTATTTCACTAAGTGGGTTTATATGTAGATTGTCTTGGTTCACTTCTTGCAATGAATGCTGAAAATAATGCAAGACAAATATTTAGCAGCATTACTTTGTATATCAATTTCCCTTATTTCCAATATTCTATTAATAGAGAACAAGTAAATAAAGTCTACATCAGGGGTATCAAATTGCCAGCCCACGGTCCGGACGCATCATCCAGAAGCCATGCCCACCCCATTGCCGGCAATGGCAAAACTCTCCCGATACGTTGCACGAAGTCATGTGATGTCACGAATTTGACATGTCTGGTCTACATGCTCCTTAATTTCCAAATCGCCTACTTGGGTAGCAGTATCAGTTTTCATCCAGCTGTATTTAACAGCAGATCAGTAGCTCTTGAGGGGAAAGCAGTGGTGAGATTCAGCCAGTTCGCACCAGTTCGGCAGAACTGGTAGCTAATTTTTTGTTGCCCAGGCCCAGAATGGACTTCCGGAAGTGGCAACCACACAGAGAACTGGTTGTTCCCATATCTGAATCCCACCACTGGGGAAAAGTAAGACATAGGTAAATTTTCAAAGAAGAATCCAAACTGGAGGGCTGCAGGTATGTAAAACTTTATATGGGAAATGAGTGGCATAAAAAAGTTAATAAATATATAAAAATAAAATAAAAACATTTTCAATTCAAAACATCCCCTTCAAGTTTGAAAAGTTGTTTCAAATTTGAAATGGGTTTCTTAGACCTTCCCAGGTATTCCAGTGCTCAGACCGTTCCAGAACCATTCCGGTTTGAAACTCCTGTTTTGAATCTGTATCAGGTGTTTCAAGTTTGGAAGAGGATTGTTTTGATTTTGAACCATTTGCAGAGTAGCCAGAACACCTGTTTCAAACTCTATAAACACAGTTCTTCAAACTTCAAATGCTGAATGCAAAAAACATTGTGCACATTACTATTTATTCTCAACATCCTGCATTCTTCATGTAACATACCATGTAAATCCTCCTTGAGTGATTTCAGGAAAAAAAAATCCAGTAACTTTCCCCTTGGTCTCATGCCTGTTGAAGCAGCAGGATGATAATAATGCATCTGGAAACAAAATGCTATCAGTGCATAAAATGGCTGTTTAAACAGTTGATGTATCACCATCGTATCAGGCCAGTGATCTTGCTAACCAAGGACTAACAACAGCCACTTCCATAGCAGAAGTTGGCAACCCCTTGGATATATTTTATAGTTCCAAAGACCCAAACGGATGGAGCAGGGATAGAAAAAGTGGTTAAGCTTATTCATGACTAGGTACAACTTGAACAACCTTATAGGATGTTACCATGGAGGAAAAAAATGAGAAGAGGAAATGCTATATATGTTGTTTGAAACTCATGGAAAATAAATACTTTTCAAAAATAAATGTATAGTTGCTGAATTTCTTGGAAAGCATGGCTATATATTAAATCTGTTTTTAAGCTAAACGTGTCCCGGGGTAGGCAACCTTGACTCTTTTATGACTCGTGGACTTCAACTCCCAGAATTCCTGAGCCAGTTGAAGTCCACGAGTCATAAAAGAGCCAAGGTTGCCTACCCTTGAGTCCTAGCCATAGGGATCCTTGTAAACAAGCCTACGGCAACTGTGGGCTGGCAGGTTGCATCTAACTGTAATTTGAAGATGATACAGTCAGCTCAGAACAAACAGCGGATGGCTGTTCTTGAGCCAGACAAGCCATCCACCATTTTCACCTATGGGAAAATGTTGTTCTGCTGGATCATATAGGTGTTTGTAACTAAATGTCGTTAGATTTTAAAAGGGGGGAAAAAAGTAATAGTCTATATTTTTGCATTCCCTTAGCATGACTAATAAATAAACTCTTGCTTCCTTCCTTCATAGTACAAACAACTGTCAGCCCTAATGTTAATGACTCTCAACAGCCACATTGGTGGGTCTTATTTGATAAAGGACATTAAAGAGAGTGGGCCCCAGGCACAGTGCCCAGCTGTTGTTAGATGTTGAGGGTTTGGATCTGGCTCTGTGATACGTTCAAAGGCTTTCCTGAGCAGATTATAGAAAACTGTTCATGGTGCCAGTCGGCAGGCCCCCTTCCCCCACTTTTCTCTGCCCCACCTTTTCTTGCTTGTGAATAACTACATTCAACACCGAAGTCCTTGGCCAAACTTCATATATTTTGAGCAAGAGTTTTAGTAGTGGTAATTTGTATGTCACCATACAAAAGCCATGGTTTAAGCTCTTGGAGAACCCTGGAATCATCCGATCAGTAGCTTGGTTACTGTGTACTGTTCACTTTCAGAAGAAGCAGTTCTGATGTTTCATATCAGTCATCTTTGTCTTGTGTTTATCTGCGAGCCTCGTCGCTTGTCATTCAATATATTTTATAGATATACTTTTGTTTCTTATTTATATAAGTGTTTATGTTTCATTGATTTTTTTAAAGTTTGCAACTGAAGAGGGTTTTTTTTCCCCTTTTGGGAGGGTTTTAGCAAAAAAGTTCAAATCAGATCCCATGAAGTAATGTTTAGAAGTGGGGGAAAAAAGGTGCTTAGCTAGAATAGAATAGACTTCTTTTCACAGAAGTCAAGATTAACTTAGTACAGTTGCTGGCCTAGTGCCCAATATTGACCTCTGAAATGCAAGACATGGTGCCTGGCATTTGCATCTCTGAGTTCTCCCCCCGCGCCGCCTTATTTTTCCTGGTTTAATAAAATATACAAACAAACGTTTGCTTCTCCACAGTTACACTGAGGTGTTTAGTTTCTGCCCTTGAGGAATCAGAAAAGTATGCTGACAAACGTCACTGCCCTAACTGTGCCCAATTTTGCATCTAATTCAGGTATCCTGTCAGCCATTCTTTCCTTCTTGCATTTCCAGGAAGCACCCAGTACAGGTTAGCGATGGCAATTGGGATCGGAATTTCCATCGCTAAACAACACAGTCATAAAGTGTGACATCATGTGACCATATCACTTAGCAATGTAAGTTGCCTCCATTAAGCAAATCTGCCTGGGTGATTTCATTAAGTGAGAATGGCATATGGCCGCCATTTGTGACTTTCTGCTGGCTTCCCTATTGACTTTGCTTGTAGGAAGCTGAGAAAGTCACAAATGATGACCATGTGACCATAGTATATATCGTAATTGTGAGCCAGGTGCTAAGAAACTGGATTCTGATCATGTGACTTAGGGAACAGAGCAACCAATATTAGTATGATATAACTGTTGTAAGTTTGAATGGTCACTGAATGAGTGGTCGTTAAATGAGGATCACCTGTAAATGAATACTGAGCTGCAGTAAGTAGAAGTATACTTAGGTTCAGGGTTCAAGAATTGAGGTTGGTACCTTGGCCTATATGAGGCAGATGGATTCTGATCTGTAAGGTGGGACCTACGCATGCATAATGTTCATGCTGCATTTTTTTATATATATTAATAATCTATTCCACAATATGCAAAAATGGAAACATATACAGAATGCAAATGTTTATATACAGGTCGTCCTTGCCTCACGACCACGGCTGAGCTCAAATTTTCTGTTGTGAAGTGAGACATTTGTTAAGTGAGTATATAGCAGTAAGCAGGCAGAGTTTTAACTATTTTGAATGTAGGCCAAATTACCTTCCCTTCATGCTGTCTTCTGTTCTCTTCTAGAGTTCTCGAACTGCTCGATCTGAAGAGGATCGGGACAGTCTCTGGGATGCCTGGGGCTCATGGAGTGAATGCTCTCGTACTTGTGGCGGAGGTGCTTCATACTCCTTGAGGCGCTGCTTAAGTAGCAAGTAAGTAGTCAAACATTTTTTGAACCTGCATCCTGTAAGATGCGTCTTGCGGTAGAAAAGAACTAGCTTAAACTTAGAAGATGGTATTTCTTTCAGCAACCATCCAGCAAGCTGGATGGCTTAACGCACAATTATATAATGCATTAAAAATGTGCAGTGTTATAAACATTTCCTACACAGCATTCGTAAACCATCTCCCATCCAAAATGATAATCTTCCCCACTTGTGCTAAATTTGAGGAAAAACTTCTAGTTTTTTGCACCCGGAATTATTTTGTCAGTTGGGAGGTCTACTATCAAAAGAGATTATGGGTAGTCCTTGATTTACAACCACAACTGGGACTAGAATTTCCACTGTTCAATACAGTGCTTGTTAAGCCACTCAGATCTGATTCTACAACCACAGTTTCTGGCCACAGTTGCTAAGCTAATTACTGCAGTTGTTTAAGTAGGTTGTGGTCATTAAGCAAATCCATTTCCCCTCCCGTCCAACTTTGGTTGTTGGAAACTACTGTAGATGGGAAGGTCACAAATGGCGATCATATGACTCCAGGACATTGCAGTAAATGCAGACTGGTTATCAAGCGTCTAGATTTTGATCGTGTAAGCATAGAGAAGCTACAACAGTCATAAGTGCAAAAATCTGTCACTTTTTTCCGCTGGTAAACAAATGGTTGTAAGCCGGGGAGTTCCTATATTGTATTTGGGTATTTTCAGCCAAGTATCCATCCATTAATGTATGCAAATTCATATTTTCAATGATCTACGGAGTTCCATTTTTACAAATGAGTTTCCTTCAGTTACAAAGTACAGCCAGGATAAAACTAGGCCAGGGTAGGCAACCTTGGCTCTTTTGTGACTCGTGGACTTTAACTCCCCAAATTCCTGAGCCAGCATGGCTGGCTCAGGAATTCTGGGAGTTGAAGTCCACGAGTCATAAAAGAGCCAAGGTTGCTTACCCCTGAACTAGGCAGTAATCAATAGCTGACATGTGTTGGGTTGAGATGATTATTAAATGTTTCCTCCCTAAAATTTGGGCAGCGGTTAGTGGAATTAATGGAGCAAAGGGAAAGAACTAAACTGAAACTTGTACAGATAGATCCTAGAGGTATCTGTGAGTGTCCAGAGTCACTCTAGAGTTTGGTGATGTCTAAACCAAATTCAATAAATAAAATGACAGCTAATGCTAATTAAAATTAGCATGTAACCCATTCTTCCCTACCTCTCCTAAATGTGTTCTATCCGCACTCCTCTCTTGTAAATATTCTCTTACCATAACTTATTGTTGCAGAGAAGAAAAAATCCTCACATTTGGCCAAGTGATCCTAACCACTGCCCTGCATAGTGAAAACAATGTTTTGAGCCAGAAATTTGTATTTACAGGAGGGGGGGAAATCAGGAACGGGTAAAAAAAAATAAGTTGTTGAAATGCAACATTACAAGCTAATTTTCCAATTCTTAAAAAAAAACTCGTAAATAAAAAGAATATTTTTTAAAAAAAATGAGCAATGGACAACGTTACTGTAGAAAAAGTGTTTCCTGATTCTGAAATGGATAGCTAAGTAATCAAATCTGTACTGATGTGATGGTGCCTGTGCTGATAAGCCAACAATATGCAAGGAGGGAAAGGTCTATTTTGTACGAGGCTGGCATGCTTGCATTAATAACTCATGCAGTCTAATAAGAGAGAGTGAGAAGCCCCAGTCACTCTTGATTTCAAAAAAAGTTACTTCATTTCCAGGAAGGAGAACTTCAAAATCAATAAGAGGACTTGATTTGCCTCCTGAAAAAAAGAAGCACCACAGACAAACTCTGTATTTTTTTTGCAAAGGAAATAACATGTACATGAGTGTGTACTCTCCATTATTCAAGCTTAACTGGTGGCTTTATTGTTCCTCCATTCTCATAATCTTGCCAGCTTTGTACAAACAAGACCTCAACTTACAACCTCAACCGGGACCAGAATTTTCATTGCTAAGTGAACCACACCCAATTCTATCACCTTTTTTGTCATGGTTGTTAAGTGAACCACTGCAGTTGTTAAATGCAATCAGCCAATCCAACTTCCCCCCCCCATTGACTTTGCTTGTCAGAAGCCATCTAGGAAAGTTGCAAGGGGCGATCACATGATCTCGGGATGCTGCAGCTCTGTTTTATCCCAGCCTATAGCCATCCTTCTTAAAGGCACAAGGACCAAACCCCTGTTGATAAAATAGGCTGGAGACTTTAAAACAAAGCAAACCCCTTTTAATATGTGTGACAAACCTACCAAATAGTCCAAAGCACAAACAGCAAAACTCAGTCCAAATGAAGGAAATAGTCCACAGGAAACACGATGCAAACAGAAGAGTAGTCACAAGCAAGACGAACAGACCAGGATTCCAAGAAGTATTTTGCAAACGGTTGCCTTCAGCAACCAGCACCGCCCACACCTCCTCTTTTTATACAGCAGTCCCAAGGCATTGCCTCTCAGTGCCTTCTCCTTTTACCCTGGAGTTGCTGTATTGACTGCTGCTGATTTACTCTCGCTAATTGACGACGTGTGCATCCATCAATTAGCATGTCCATCAGGTGTGAGTCCTCTGAGTCTGACTCATTCTCCTCATACAGCTGAGCTTCATCAGGAACACGACTGGAGGGCCCAGGCTCTGCATCAAACCGTGAGTCCTGTAATTCATCAGAGCCTCCCTCTACCCCTGATGGCCCTTCAAATGCCTCCTCCACCTCCTCCTCAGATTCCTCAGACTCAGCTGTTGGGAGCACAGGCTGGCATGGAATCACAACAAGCTCTCATAAATACATGACGGTTGTCAAGTAGCCCAGAGTTGGATCACATGACTCGGAATGCTGTGACTGTCATAAATGTAAGGACCAGTTGTAAGCCCTTTTTTTCCCAGCGCCATTGTAACTTCAAACAGTCACTAAAGGAACTGACGTAAATCGAGGACTACCTGTATGAATCTTCTATGGGAATGAAGAGAAAGGCAGAAAAAGTGGGAAGAATCCTTCAGACTTCAGTGTCTGCTTGTGTTTCAAAAGAAAGCAGGTTGCTAAGACTTATAGATACCAAGCTGAAGACATTTCCCCCATAGTTCCCATCTGTTCCTGCTGCCAGTCTTTTCCCAAACACAAAAAAAGGCTACTTCCAATGGCTGCCGCCTTCTAAAACTGCTTCACATACCTTCTATGATTTTCCTGTGTCTGCGCAAGGGCTGCTGGAAGGGAGGAGGGTCTTTCGACAAACTGGAGGTCTTCTCTACACAGCCTGTAATTCTCTCTCTCTCTGTACATATGGTTGGAAATAGTTGGCAGAGGTTTAAAAATGATTCCAATGTTGCACATACAATAGAAAGTCAGAAAATCCAACTGCCCAGGCCAATTCTTTCCTTTACTGACCAACCCTGCTTCAATGAGAAGGCAATGTACTTGCGTAATTCAGAATTAACGTTGAAAGAAAGAAAGGATCGAATTGCCTTAACATCGTTTTAATGGTTTTAATTAAATGACTTTTAATTTTTAATGTTAAAAAAAAATGAGTTTATTAAGGGCTCAACAGAGAGCCTATGACTTACCTGCCTAATGACGAGGTCAGTGGCCAAAACAGTCTCTCGAAGCAAACATGAACCATCCTGAACCACCAATCCTTTCCTGAGGTGGCCCGATTGATGGAATGGAAACCGAACCAAGCATACCGGGGGGAAAATGTTCAAGTTTCATCAGAATTCTTTGAAGCAGAGGCTGACCAGAAAAACTGTCAAGCCTGCAGAGGCAACATGCAATCAGGCACCTAGGACAGCTTCAAGAGATGTTATGCCTGTGCCGATGACAGAGGAGACCCAATTCTGAAAATAAGGGCATTTTAGCCTCAAAATATGCTGGCAACGATGATGGGCTGAACAGGACATCTCTTTGAGAGAAGGGGTAGCATTACCCCTAATCAAGCCACAGCAGCATCTGGGATTATATAAGAATAGCCTCCATAGAGTTCAGTACTGAAATGGAAACTGATTTGGCCTTACAGATAGTCCTCGATTTACAACCGTAATTCAGCCAAAATTTCTATTGCTAAGGGAGACGGTCATGAGTTCTGCCCCACTTTACAACCTATCCTGCCACAGTTGTCAAGTAAATCACAGCAGTTGTTAAGTTACTAACACGGTTGTTAAGTGAATATGGCTTCCCCACTGAGTTTGCTTGTCAGAAAGTCATGAAAGGTGATCACATGATCCCCTGGGACACTGCAGCCGTCATAAATTCTAACCAGTTGCCAAGTGTCCAAATTTTGATCACGTGACCATGGGGATCCTGTAACAGTCCAAGTGTAAAGAAACTGTCTCATGTCACTTTAGTGCCATTGTAACTTTCAGTGGTCACTGAATGAATGGTTGTAAATCAAGGACGTCCTGTACATATCTACAACCAAGTTGTGATTTGGGCCACTACACTAGCATTATAGGTAGCCCTTGATTTACAGCTACAATGGGAACTGGAATTTCCGTTGTAAGTCATTGCAGTCATAAGTTGAGTTGGACCAGATTTTACAACCAAATGTTATGATAGTCATTAAGTAAATCACCACTATCCTTAAGCAAATCCGCGGTCATCCATGTTAACCCATTTATCTGAATGGGCATTTTTTTTTTTTTTGCCAGAAATCAAAAACAAAGGTCACACTCCTTTGTCTACTGATTGTAAATGTGAGCTGGTTGCCAAGCCCCCAATTTGAGATCATGTGATCATGGGGGGGGTGTGCAACAGGTTGCTAATAAACGGTCATAAACCTGTAGTGCTATTTGGATATAACTCAAGAGTTTTTTAAAAAAATAATGGCAGTAGCAGTAAAAGCAATGTAGAGAACGTTCAGGATACTTTAGAGTCCCAACTGTGGTTATTACAAAATATAACTTGTATTACATATTAATAGATCATGCTTTAAATGGTTTCATAAATAGTTAGAAAACATGTGTAAAAGTATCTATAGAGGGTTTTTTTGACACAATT